GGTTTCTATGCCACTTACTAATACTCTTGCCCTCTGAAATCTCGAGCTGAGCTGTTATAACTTACATCACTCGAAACACTAGTGTCTTCCATGCTTCTACTAGAAGAGCCTATTAAACTCATCTTAAAATGTTCAACTGCTTTCCTAGCCCAAGTTCCAAAGTCTCCAGTACAAAAAAAAAACATGGTCAGGCCTTTCACAGCAATGCCTTATTCCTGGTACTGATTTCTGTCTGAATTACAATTCTATTGTTGTAAAGTCACATCATGACTAAGACAACTCTTATAAAAGAAAGTTTTTAATTGGGGATTGCTTAGAGTTCCAGAGATTTAGTCCATCATCATCTGGTAAAGCAGTAGCTGAGAGCTACATCCTGATCCATAGGCAGAGAGAGGGGGCAGAGGGGAGAAACAGAGGGGGAGAGAGAGAGAGAGAATACCATGGGCTTTTGACACCTCAAAGCCCACCTCCAGTGACACACATCCTCCAACAAGGCCGCACCTCCTAATCTTTGTAATCCTTTCAAATAGTGCCACTTCCTGCTGACCAATATATGAACCTATGGTGGGGTTGGGGGCATTCTTAATTCAAATCAGCGCACCAGCATTTCACCGGACAGAGGCTAATACCTAGAATATGCAAATAATTTTTTTTTACAAATCTTTTTTTATTTATTTAACTCTGTATACAGTGTTCTGCCTACATGCAAAGAATTTTTTAAATTGTTAAGAAGCATTTGTTAAATGTTCGACACCTTTGGAAATCAGGGAAACACAAATTAAAAGTACTCTGAGATTTCATCTTACCCCAGTCACAATGTCCAAGGTCAATGAAACAAGTGACAGCGGGTGCTGGCATAAATGCGCAGAAAGGGGAACACTTATTCACTGAAGGTGCGGCTGAAAACCGGTGCAGCAGCTCTGAATATGGGCATGGAGTTTCCCCAAAAGCTAGAGTGGATCTTCCACACCATCTAGCCTACTACTCTTGGGCATATACCTCACCTCCACCACTTATTACACAGGCACTTGCTAATCCATGTTTGTCTTCTATTCCCAACAGCAAGGAAATAAAGACAGCCTGAGTGCTCATCAACTGACAAATTAACAATAAAGATGTTCATTCATACACAGTGGTACTCCTACTTAGCTGTCAAGAAAAATGAAACTCAAAAATAAAAAATGAAGCCAGAAACAATATTCCTGAGTTAGGCAATCCAGGCTCAGAAAAACAAATACCACATATTTTTCCTCATTCATGGACGTTGCATTGACTCTTCAAACGTGAGTTTCATTTAGGATACCCATTGTGATCAGGAATGTAGTAAGGGCCTTGGTGGGAGAAGTGATAGAATGTACTGGTTTGAAGGGCTATGGAGAATTATGAAACAGAAAGGAATAAATTGTAGCGAGAGTGGGAGGAGAGAGTAGAGGTAACACAGGACAGGATGACTAACACTAAAGGCCTTCTGAAAAACCCTATGAAAACTCACTGCTACAGAAGCTTCCTAAAATATATACATATATTAAAAGGTTTTATATGCTACAGCAAAAACATCTCATGCCAGCAAATTTAAAACCCAGGACCAGGAACTGGTTACCTCTTTTTGAGTTGTTGAGTCTACAGGGTACCATAGACCCACAGGCATTGAAGGCTATTGCAATACTCTGAGCTACCCTCCAGAACTTGATGGCAAAATCCTATTGCTGAAGACTCTACATACTTAAGCCCCAGAACATAGAGAAATGAATCTGATTCTCACCTGCAATCTTCATCCCTACTGGCTAGTTCTCATAGCGCTTGAAGGTGATGTGGAAGCTCCCACGGGAGAAAGGTAATCATTTCTGTAGGCTATAACAAGGACTGGCCTAACAAAACATATTGCTGTAATACTGTCATGAGTGCTGTAGAAGTAACCAACCATTTTCTGACTGGATGTAAGGCCTGTTGAGTGAGACGGAACCCAAACCTGACACTGTGCAAGAAGCCAAGAATCTGTGGCTAGATAGGCCATAGGCCCTAGGGGAAGACCCAAAAGCATCATTCTGATAAATGATTATTATTAGGGATCATTATTAAAATGATCCCTAAGGGCTTATTGCTGTGCACATAGATCAGTGAATCTCTCAACCCTCATCAGAGAAACTTCTCCGACAGTTAGCACAGAGACCCTCAGCTGGTCGGTGCAGAGAAGAGGAGAATACGGAGTGTTCAATTCTAAATGGGGTGCACCTAGTACCCCACCCCAACAGTAGGACTTCTCCATGGAAGCAGTGGAAGAAAGGGTGCCAGGGCCAGATGCTGAGGATAATTTCAAGGAAATTGTTTTCCAGGTGCTGTTTTAAATTCACCCGGGTTGTGAAAGCATGCGCAATACCTGTGCAAGCTTAAGCCAGACAATAATTCCAGCATAGAGGAAGGAAAATGGGAACAAAATCCCAGGGGAAAACTAGCTGAGGAGCTATTGGCATTTGATAGCTGCTGGGAAGAGGAAAATCAGTTTTCTTTTATGTGATGCCTGAATCGCCAACCATGTACCAGAGCCCTACTCCCAAGAGTAGTTGGGCAGCACAAACTAGATAACTAAAAAATGTTGAGAAGGAGAGGTAGAGCAGGTGGAAATGGGAGAAGTTGGAGGAAGGACAGGTGAATATGATGAAAATACAAAGATATTCCCAAAGAATTGGCAATCTTTTAAAGATGCAGATAAAACCACACGTTCTGTCTCACACTCAGATCCTGGCCTACCATGTCTGTGTTCACTGTAGAAACTGTGGTTACAGGATACGAGAGAAAGGAAAGAGGGGAGAGACCAGTCAGGCACAAGTGACATGAACGTGGAAGACAGGCTGTGGAGCCAGACAGAAAGGCGTAAGGGCAGAGAAGACAGAGGAAAGAGAAAGGGAGAAGAACCAGCCAAACAAATTTTGTCCGGAAATGTCACAGTGAAAGTTTAATACTGTGGATAAGTAAAGTGTTTTTAAATTAAAAATAAAGAGCACAGATTCTTTTTTTTCTAAGTGAAACAAAACCAGAAGACTTTTTGTGTATATATATATATATATATATATATATATATACACACACACACACAATATATATAGTACAAGAAGTGGCCCCAGACTGGTGGACCAACAAGGCGTGCTGTGCGCTTTTGCTGCTCTCACCTTTCTGCCCAGAACTACTTGTCTCTTTATAGTTGTAGACATTAACTCATATTCAAAAAATTTCTGAAACCTTTTAAATGGGATTCAAAACTACAGAGACTGCCAGCCACGGACAGCAAGAAGCCTGGAGGAGGAAAGTCTAAGAGAGACGCACAGGAAAATGAAAGTCTGTGATTCTTTGCAGAGACATGAGTAAATGACTCTCAAATCTATACGGGAAAAAAAAAAAACATTGCACAATTATGATTTTTACTCTAGTAAAATACATCATACAATTTTTCTTTTTCATGTTAAAGTGTACAAACGAATGCTCATATCTGAATCACCACGGTCTCCTTAGTTCTCCACCGGAAACTTGAAGGTGGAACAGTCAGGTAGCTGTTCCCTGGACCCCATCTTCTCCCAGTGTCAGAAACCACTAATCTGCAACTATCTCCATGAATTTTTCTATTCTGGGCATTTGCTGTCTGGCATCTTTCACTGGGCATGTTTTTATGCTTTCTTCTTTTTAAAGCTTTGAGTGGTTAGGTTGGTTTTTGTTGTTGTTTTGGTTCTTCTTGTGTATGTCTGAACACATAAGGCACATGTGTGTATGTGCCTGTGGGTACCTGTGGAGGGCAGAGCTATGAGATCCCCTGGAGCTGGCATTACAGGCGGCTGTGAGCACCTGGCATGAGTGCTGAGAACCAAGCTTAGGTCCTCTGTGAGAGGAATATGCAGCCTTAACCACTAGGCCCTCTACTCAGCCCCTGATGAAATGGTTTTGATAACTGTAACTATCATACCAGAGCTTCAGTCTGCTGTACAGACACAGTACTTTGTTCATCTGGTCACTTGTTGATGGCTTTGGGCTGCTTCCATGCACAGACTGCCAAGCAGTGCTGTCTGAATACTCGCCATAACACGTTAGTGCTTTCGGGTGTATAATGGGGAGAAAGGTTGTTTCATCGGGTCGGTAAACACACTGATCCTACTGCATTTTGCCAAATTGCTTGTCACGGAAACTGTCCATCTTACATGCCTACCAATGGCACATGAGGGTTTCACGTTTCCCTTGTCATCTCTAATGCTTGTTTTCCTTTTTTTATTATGGCCATCCTAGTATTTCTGAGATATCATCTCCTCGAGGTTTTGAATTATAGCTTTCAATTGCTAATGCAGTTGAGCTCCTTTTTACAGCTTGTTGACTGTTCACAGACTTTCTTTGGGAAAATATCTATTCAAGTCCTTTGCCCACTTTTCAGCTGAGCTAGGTTTCATTATGTAAGTAAAAATGTAATCTTAAAGATGTCAAAAAAAAAAAAGTCGACGTCATTCTTTGGTTATGATAAACTAATAGAGCCTAAAGGGTGTCTAAAATGCTTAAATTCTTAACTATTGCATAAACTAAACTGCAGACACTGTGGAGGAAAATGCTGCATCACACGGCTGCAACACTTTGAGGGTGCATTCAGATGACTGGAAATGCTCATCTACTTGGTAAAAAAGTTGCTTATCAAACTTTTCAGTAAAGGCAGTCTCTGTCTTTAGGAGTTACTCTTTCTACTAACCTCCTTCGTGTAAAGTTTGCAGAAATAAACTGTTTCTATGTACACTCCTCCCTCAGACAGACCCTATAGCTCTGTTCAAAGCTCCCGTGGACACACATACTGCTCTACATACGATTCACAGAAACTCTTTTACACAGTCTCCATATATTGATAATGAAAGAGAGAGGCTGCTACCAAATGAAGACCTAGCCATTTCCAATGCCTTCAAATACACAGTGTGCCAAAGTTGTTATATTTGCATCTAAAACCAAAAATACATAAATTATTTTTGAAAAAGTCTTACATTTTGTTCTGCCAATGAATAAACAAGCTGAGGAAGAATGTCACCTTTCACAACTGCTTCTGCTAAGTCATCATTGTAATTGGCCAGTCTCCCCAGAGCCAAAGCAGCAGTCTGTTGAATTGTTGGGACCACATCCAGAAGAAGCGGCCTCAGCAAAGACATTACACCTGAGTTAATTATGAAAAACAGAAATCAGCAAAATTCTTATTAGAAAACAGAGAGTGGGAGCTGGAGAGGTTGCTCGGTGGTTAAGAGTACCTGCTTCTCTTTCAGGGGACCTGCACTCAGTTCCCAACAACCACATGATAGCTTATGTGACTTCAGTTCAAGGGGATCTGACACCCTCTTCCGGCCTCCTCAGAAACCAGGCATACACACGACATACATACATACATACATGCAAGCAAAAAAAAAAAAAAAACCACTTATACACACACAAAGTAAAACATTTTTTTTAAATATGTAATTTAGCCTGTACACAAAAAAAAAGCGTTTAAAAAATCGGCAAAAAACAAACAATTAAAAGCCAGACACCCTAGTGCATGCCTATAATCTCAGCATTTGGGAGAGGCAGAGGCAGAAGGCAGAGCAATCACAAGTTTAAAGCTAGCCTAGGTTGCAAAAGGAGATCCTGCCAAATAGAGAGATATGTAACTGGTATCACATTGGAAAAGACACACAATCACGCAAACTCTTTAAAATATATTAGTCATCCTCCTGCTGCCACATATTCATTATATCCTATTAGCGTGTGCACAGTGGTGGGGTGCAAGAGAAGGTCTCCAGAGGCTCATGCTTTTGAACACTGTGTTCCCTTTGAGAGGTTTAGGAGGTATGGCCTTGTTGAAGGAAGTACGTCAGCACAGGCACATAAGAACTCTTTACCACTCCCAGCTCACTCTCTCTGCTTTTTGCTTGCAGGCCAAGACGTGAACTCCAGTTACAGTCAGCATGCTGGCTGCTTGCTGTTCTACTTCTTACGGTGACAAACTCTTGTCCCTCTGGAACCACAAACCCAAAGAAATTTTTTCTTCTTCAAGTTGTCCTGTGGTGTTTGATCACAGCGATAGAAGAGTAATAACACACTCACCATAACTGGATGTCTTGACACTTGCCTTCCTTCGCTCCTTCCTGAATTCCCCCTACAGATAGGATCTACTGCTTCATACTGCTAACCCCTTCTATTTCTTCCAAGTTCCCTTTCCCTCTTCCCCCATCAATAGTCAGAAATCCTAGGCTCTCGCCACCATCTATACCTACTCCTTCCAACTACATCATCCCTGACTTACACACCTGACTCTTTCTCCACACAGAAACAGTAGACCTGATCCACAAACTTCACCCATCCCTTTGACTCAAAGGCCACCCCTCTGCAGCAAGGGGTGCCAAACCAGAGCAACATACTCCAACCACCCCACCCCTGCGAAGGGCCATGCGTCCCACATCTGACTTCCTGTACCCCTTTCACACCCCTGCTTCAAGAAGAACCTCTAGAACCACATTGCTAAACCCCATGAAGCTACAAAGAACGCTGAATCAAAAAAACACAATAGAACACCACAAAACAAAATGACAGAAATCAATACTCATTTTTCAATAATAACTCTTAATATTAATGGTCTCAACTCCCAGTGAGGAGACACAGACAAACATATTGCATCTGACACATCTGACATGATACTTTGTTATGCTTCTATACAGGAGCATAACTGTCCTCTAAGAGGGCTCCACCCAAAAGCGAATGGAAACAGATGCAGAGACCCACAGCCAGAGGGAGTCTTGTGGAAGAGTTGGGGGGGGGAAGGGTAGAAAGTCTAGGAGGGGACAAGAACTCCTTAGAAGACCAACAGAGTCAACTTAGGTAGGCCCTCAGGGACCACAGAGACTTTTTTATTGTATATTTTCATAAAAGTAATCACTAATAACTACATGACAGAGTCAATATCAGGCTGCCTTGAAAACTCCTCTGCCAAAAAAAAAAAAAAAAAAATTAATCCAAAACTCTTCAATTTACCTTCAGGCAGATACTTAGGTCAAGGGCAAAAAGCAGCCACGTTCTCTGTCAAAATACCACAAGAATGGTCTCTAGCCTAGACCTCTGAAACCTCTTGTGTGTCCCTACATAGTTCATGCTGTTCTCAGCACTACTGTCTTCCAAGATTCTACCAGGATGACCCATTAAGTCTCCCTTACAGAGTTCAACTTTTTTTTTTCTTTTAAATTCAAAGTCTCCCACATTCCTCCAAAAACAGCTGGTGAGGCCTGCCATAGCAATTGCCAACTCTTAAAAGTTGTCCTCTAATCTCCATATATACGCTACGGCACACTCATGCTGCGGCACAGGCACAGCGATAGTCACACACAAGCACACAGGCACGTGCAAACGCACGCGAACCACCTCATACGCATCCCCACAAAATAACCGTAAGTTAAAACATTCTACGTAAGGGGTGATCAACCCCACGTCAACCTTGGGCCAACACACACCTATGTATGGGTTCTCACATGCACCACACACTCATGTTCACCCACACAAACAAACACATGTGCGCACATAATCACACACACGTGCTATGAAATAAAACCAAGCATGGATTAGTCAGGTCTCTAAAGGAACAGACAAACGGAATGGAGATGTTTATAAGAGGGAATTTATTAGGTTGGCTTATGTGCTAGGAACCTTGATGAACAACAATGGTTTCTGCATGCCTGAAGAGTCTGAGTAGCCAATAGCTACCCAGTATGAGAATCTAAATGTCTCAGCAGTCCCAATTTTTTTTTTTTTTTTTTGCTAAAGGCCTAAAGGATTCTGGAAGAGTCACTGGCCTCCAGTTCATGTGAGAAGTCTGAAGAATTTGGGCTCTGACATCAGCCAGAGCTAGCAGCGGCAGAAGAATGAGCAGATCCCGAGTGAAGGCAGCCGGGCAAGAGCAATGCTCCTCCTGGACTCTCACACCTGAAGTACCACCAACTGGGACAGACCCTCTCCCGTCATTTAATCCTGAAAATGTCCTCACAGACACACCAGAGCCTTCCTAGGCTACAGAGGGAACCAAGTTGACAGCCAAGGTTAATCCTCGCACAAGGTCTCCCTTTGTTGCCCAGGCTCACCTTGAACCAACAGTCCTCCCCCCCCCACCCACCCAGTCTTCTAAACAGCTTGGGCTATGGGAAGGCACCACTCAAATGGATTTAATTTTCATTTCCTGTGAGCATCTTGCCATAGGAAGGTTGACCACCTGTATGTTTTCCTTACAGAATCTGTTCAGGTCATTTGTCCATTCTTGAAGCAGACAATTTTTGTTGAAATGCAGTGACTTTTTGCATTTTAATTGTAGATACTAATTGTTTATCAGTTCTATGTCTTCATGTATTTTCTTCCACTCTGCAAGTTGTCTTTATACTCTCTGAATAGTGTCCTTTGATATTCTCTGACTTCTGTTTGGTTTTGGATTTAAAATAAAGTGATTTTGACCTTTTTTTTTTTCATTTTTTCAATTCGAGATTAATTATAGTTTATAAAATACATTAAATATTTGTTACTTTGTTTTAAAAGCTTTAAAAAATCAAATGCTAATAATATGTTTTATTTTAATACATGTGACAATTTACTATGAATCCGTCACTACTACAGTTCATTCACCTCTTGACAAAGTGGTATCTGCATGTGACCACACAGTAACAGAACAAAGGACCCACCTTGACGGCAGTACCGTCATCTGACTCAGATTCTCTGTCTAGAGCACAATAAAGATATGACAGGATCAGAGAACCTATTTCTAAAGCCTGACATTTCTGTCATGCCGGGCCAGCATACAGACCACACTGGAGTAGGCACATATAGGCCTGCAGGTAGACAGCTCATGAAGGTGAAGTCACCTGCCTCGACCACAAGGCCATGTTTAGTACATAAAAGTGCCATTTTACAAGGAACAGTTATACAAAATTACACCGCTGCTTACTGTTGGGTCCCCCAGACAGCCAGCGTCAACCATTTTACACTGATCCATAGTCTCCTGGATATCCAGTGTTAGCTGTCTTGGCCCACGCCTGACAACCATTCTGGTGTCATGACGTCCTCACACAATCTGACCCAGATGGCCCTCTTTTCCCTTCAGTGACTGCCATGTCTGGTTTGTGATTGCTGGGTGTGGAGGGGTGAGAAGATGTGGCGGTGACCTCTGTCCCCTCCTCTAAAATCGCCCACCCAGACAATGATGTTTTAAATTAAGATCTTCTAGGAGGCCCAAGACTCTGACCACACCTCACCTGGTTTCAAAAATGTGTTTTGCCTTCTGTGATACATATCTACTGCATTCACCTGCCAGCAGAAGGTGAAATATCTTGGAAAGAGGCAGTCCAGTGTGTAACAGGGACAGAAAGGATAGCCTGTTGCAAGAGGCTTCATGGGTAATATTTGGAGAGGAAAGACTTGTAAGGCAATTAATTAAAAAATCAATTTAAAAACATGCCTGAGGTTTAAGATGCAGCTCAGTGGTAGAGCACTTGATTAACATAGCTGAGGCTTAAATTCAATATCCAGCATCACACACACAGAATCTACCTTTAATTAGAAGTAACTCATTATCTTGTACATATTTCACAGTTTATGTGTGCACGTTAGAGACAGTTTAATTTATAAGACATGTATAAAGGGTATAGGACATGCTTAAACTAACAAAGGTACTGGGTTCAAACCCTCAGCACACATAAAAAATGTGTATATATATATCATATATCACATGTATGTAATAAATATGTATGTATGAGAACAAATAGTCAGGTGTTAAGGAGGGGACTGATAATTGTATCAAAAATGCAGGTTGGATTTCTATTACAGGTAAGTTCTGAACATGAGTTTCATGGCAGCAAAGAAAAGATGAATATAAATTTATGAAATTTATGAAATTTTCATAAATTTATGAAATAAATTTATGCCTTTAAAAGACACGGGGAATCGCTGTTTTATATCTACCTAAATTTATATACAATATCTATAACTGCACGTGTGTAATGTAAGTCTCACATGGAGTGATAATACTTCCCACCCCCAAGGGCCACAGGCTAACAAAGACTCCAGCACAGGCATGAGAAACCTCCTTTCAGGTTGCTGTTTGGGTTCAGTGCTCAGCACACATAAGAAAACAGCACAACTACTGTTATTTCCTTGGCTGTCTTTCAGGAATTGAGGGTAAACATTCATTACTGAAGACAACATGTACCGTGGACACGGAACTCAAGGATTTAAGCTGGAACTAACCCGAGGGCCTCCTCCACTAGAGAGTACCTAAGGTGCTCTGCAAGCTGCCCAGGGAGGAAAACATGCAATAGTCTTACCCAGTTGTGACACCGCTGAACCACAACAATGGCCAGCACATCAAGGTGTTTCTAAAGGAGCAATGGTGGCACTCATATCTTGGTGGTGGCCAACAGCTGTGTAATTGAACTCAAAGCCCACTTTACGGGACGGAAACTGTGTCTCGTACTTTAAATCTTGACAGCCACCCAGGGCTAATGAGGTCATGGATCTTAGAAGAGAACCTCCCACACCCACTTCCCTAAGTCCGTATAATCCCTAACTACAGATTCTTATATCCACAGATAAGTGTACATCTTATCCCTCATCAAAGAAGTTTCGTGTTGCAGTAGATGTCCACTGCAGAAAGCCACAACTGTCAAAGTGCAGAAAATAACCAAGCATGGGGTCCCCAGACCCAACTGATGCATCTACAGTGCTAGTCCCACGCCTAAGGCTCAAAACATGTGGGAAAAGTGGTGGGAAGACTCCAAGAGCCAGAGGGTGAGGAGGTCTGCTGTAAGACTGTGCCTTCTAGCTATGTCAGGAAAGCTACACCCAGCAGCATGGCTGCCGCAACAAGATTCGACAATCCAACAGCAGTTGACATCTCACCTGAAGATGGGGAAAGTCTCTTGCGGCCCCTCCCACCCCTGGATGGAAAGCTGTAAGCAATTAACAACTGCTGAGAAAGAAAGACTTTTTCTTCCCCAGGGATGAGATCCTGACTGGTCGCCCAGTTCCAAGCCATCAGCCCTAGAAACGAAGACATGTTGGTCAATACTGAACAGACTCATCATGTTGTATTGGTATGTATATATTTATATGTATATGTAGCAGCAATGGTTAAGTAGGAGCAGACCACGAATTTAAGAGGCAGGGGAGACAGAAATGGGAGGAGATGATGGGGGCAATGATGTGATTAAAATGTAAAATGCACTAATAACCTAGACACTTGTGCTTTGGACACTCTGAAGATGGCGCATACATGTGCATAAGCACAGAGGAAAAAGAAAATTCGTCTGCATAGAACATCTGCAAAACGAAATAAGATTTAAAGTTTATTTTCTTTTTAACTGTGTGTGTGTGTGTGTGTGTGTGTGTGTGTGTGTACAAATGAGTGCAGGTGCCCATGGAGGCTGGAAGCATTGGATCCTGTGGAGCTGGGGTTACAGAAGGCCGTGACCGCTTTCATGTGGGTGCTGGGAATCAAACCCCAGTCCTCAGGAAGAGTTCTGCAGGCTCTTAATGGTTGAGCATCTCTCCAGCCCCCAAACAGTCAGTCCTTTAATGATGGCATTTCAGAACTGGCAGCAGTTTAGTGCTTGCTACAGGAGGAGGTGGGTGGGTGGGATTATAAAAAGACAAGGCAGGAGTCTGTATACTAAGTGTAATGTGTCCCGAGTGTAACGATGGTGAGTTCAAGAGATAAAATTACATAGAACGAAGAACACGGAGGATCATATGACTTGGGAAACACGAATTAAGTTAATGAATTGCTGTCGATATAAGCATCATAACTGTAGTAACAAACTTTGGCAGAATGTCACTGAGGAAGTTAAATGGAGGCAAAGGGCACATGACTCTATACTAATCTCAAATTTTTTAAATTCCTTTCTCAGTTCTAAATGCTTTCCTTACCGCCTCTTGCCAGAGGGGTCAAGGACACCGTGAGAACACAGAGTCAACTAAGCAGGGCTCTCGGACCTCAGAGACAAGAGACAGTCACAGGCTCCATACGGGTCTGAACTGGGTACTCTGTATACACGTTATGGTTGTGTATCTTGGTGTTCTAGTGGGACTTCTAACAGTGGAAGTGGGTGGTGACTCTGATTCTTTTACCTGCTCTTGGGACCTTTTTCCTCCTACTTGGTTGCCTTCCCCAGCCATGATATGAAGGCTTATGCCTAGTTTTATCGTAACTTGTTATGGTATTTTGGTTGATATGCCTGGAAGGCCTGCTTTTTCAAATTTTTATTTTATATAAATTTATTTACTTTACATCCCAAGGGTGGTCCCTTCCTTCTCTCCTCCCAGTTCCTCTCCTCTTTCTTCTCCTTCCCCTTCTTCCCCCCCCCAGAAAAGGGGAGCCCTCCTTTTCTGTATCAATCCTCCCCAGTATCAACCCTCCCCAGCACATCGAGTCACATCAGGACTGAACATTTCCTTATCCCCTGAGGCCAGGCAAGGCAGCCCTGCCAGGGGGAAGTGATCCAAAAGCAGGCAATAGAGTCCATGTTAGAAGTAGTGCCCTCCCCCATGCCTACAGCCAGGCGACCCACATGAAGACCAAACCACCCATCGGCCACATATGTGCAGGGGTCCTAGGTCCAGACCATGCATGCTCCGTAGTTGATGTCTCAGTCTCTGTAAGCCCCCATGGGCTGAAAACAACCTAAATGTCCTTCAATCAAAGAATGGATAAAGAAATTGTGGTACATTTACATAATGGAATACTGCTCAGCTATTAAAAATAAGGAAATCATGCAATCTGCAGGCAAGGGATGGAACTAGAAAAGATCATCCTGGGTGAGGTAACCTAGACCCAGAGAGACCCACATGGTACATACTCACTTATAGGAGGATATTAGACCTACAGTACAGGATAACTATACTATAACCCACTGACCCACAGAAGCTAAGTAACAGGAGGGCCGGAGGGAGGGTGCTGGAGTGTCACTCAGAAGAGGAAATAGAAGAGACAGCAGAAATGGATGAAGACAGGGAACTGGGCAGGAGATGGAATGGGGAGGGAGACAAGGGTAGGAATCAGATGTTGGGAGAATGAAGGTGGGAGGTGAGAGACCTGGAAAAAAAAAGGGAAATTGAGGCGGGGAGGGGGGAAGGCTCCTCTTTGTCAAGCTGGAAGCCTCTAACAGGGTAGGCTTCTGGGAGAAAATGGGTGTGACTCTCGCTGAGACTCCTAACAGGGGATGGGGTTGGGGAGGACATGAAGACTGAAGTAATCACCTCCCAGCCAGGCAGGACTAGTGGGAGGAGGGGAGCAACAACCCACCCACCAAACCTTTGATCCAAAAATTACCCTGCCAAGAGGGAACAAAGACTAGGGAAATGCCTAACCAATGACTGGCCCAACCTAAGACCTGGCGTGGTAGAGAGCCAGCCCCTAACACTATTAATGATGTTCTGCTATGCTTGCAGACAAGATGTCTATCCTCCTATAAGTGAGTATGCACCATGTGGGTCTCTCTGGGTCTAGGTTACCTCACCCAGGATGATCTTTTCTAACATGTCTTCTGGGAGGCTCCAGCCAGCAGCGAGTGGAGACAGATGCGGAGACTTGCAGCCGAGCATGGGGCAGAGCTCTGGGGGGGGGGGGGGCTTGTGGAAGTGTTGGGGGGAAAATGGAAGAACATGGGGGGACAGGAACCCCACAAGAAGATCTGCTTTTTTTTTAATGGAAATGTAGGAGGAATAGATCTAGGAGGGAGGGGGGTGCGGTGGGAGTGGGGGACTGGGAGGACTACAGGGAGAGGACACTGGTCAGGGTGTAACGTATGAGAAAAGGATGAAAAGAAAATATCCAAGAATAAACACCGAAATCCAAAACACAAAACAAAGGACCAAAAAGGTCCAGGGTGTGTACATCCTACAATATGCTGACAGTGGAGGTGCACACCTTTAATCCCGGCAGTCTGGAGGCAGGGGCAGGAGAAAGAAATCCTGTCTCGAAAAACAAAAGATACATCCTATAAGACAAAACAGTGACAACAATCTGAGGGTTCAGTTAGTGGCTCAAGTTTGATCTGCTGGTCCTCGCTCTCCTTTCCTCCTCCCCTCGCTCTTCTCACACTCCTTTCCTTCTTCCCCTCTTCCTCTCCGTCCTCCCTCCTCCTCTCTTTCCTCCCCTCTTTCTTCTCCCTCTCTCATTCTCCCCACGTTCTTCTTTCTCTACTTCACTTTACAAAAACCTTATCTTTCCCTACTTACAGTCTAGTTGCCTAGCAATCCTTTTCCCTAAACAAGATGAAAAGTTCTATGAATCTTACGAGTTTTTCTGTTGTAGGGAAACTTAAGCTGGTCAAAGGGCGGCAAGAGGGAGTTCGAAGATGATTTAGTGAGTAAGGTGCTTGCTGACGCAGCTTAAAGAAACTGATTTTGGATCCCCAGTACCCACAAAAAAAAAAAAAAAGGGACATGGTGGCAGGTGCCTGTAATCCTCCGTGCTGTTTTGCTAACATCCAGTTTTGCAGAAATGGCGCGTACGTACACACACACACACACACACACACACTGTCGCTCACACACTTGTGGATAAAACGGACCTGACTGGGGAGAGTAACATCTTTGCAAAACAACTTCCAGGCAACTCATACTGCTTTGAATCAACCTGACAACCTGGCTGACTTCGGTGAAAAAGGAAATAAGGACATCAAACCCTTTCACCCTCTCGTCCTCACCCACTAAGACTCCCCTTAAGGGGACTGGAGAATTATAGGGGGAATTTAGAGAAGTCTCCTCTGGTTCCCAGGACACACAGAACAACAGAAACAATAACCTTAACAAACTCAGCGGGTAAGGAACCCAGGAGGGCTGCAGCTCGGGTGCCAAGGTGAAGGGACCGGGAGGGCCCAGGGCCCAGGGGATAACGGATAAGGGGGAAGGAGGGGTAGGGTGGCAGGTCGGAGGGCGTGGGAAATTGGGGACAGAGCTGGTTGGGCGAAGCCAACCTGGCAGAGCCATCAGGGCGTGAGCCGAGATGGGCAGGCAAGGCGTGGGGTGCAGACTCACCTGCATTCTGCAGCGTCTCGATGTTCTGGGGTCTAGTCGCCAGCTCCGCCACCATCTGCACGAACTGCGCCCGGGCCTTCTGGTACTGCTCGAACACTGAAGAGAGAGCCCGGGTTGAGCCGTCCTGTGGCCGGCAGCGCCAGCCCGCCCGCCCGAGTGCCCGCCCGCCCCGGCCGTACCTTGCAGCACCTGCCGCTGGCTCATGGCGCCGCACGCACTTCAACAAGCCGGCAGCTACCGGGACCTCCACCGCACTGGGATCTGTTCCTCTGTGTATCCTTCTCCAGGGCAACCGACCAAAACCGGATGCAACCGCCGGCGAAGGCCGTGACGTCACTGCCAGGGTGCAGAAGGCTGGGGCCCGGGCTCCAGCGCAGACCCGCGTCGCTCCGGCTTCGGGCTGCCGAGAATTGTTGCCAACAAGATTGGGATCGTCTGCACTGAGTCCAGCTGGCTAATTCTAAATATACACTTTTTCCACCATAAATATTCATACGCATATACATATATAAATAAATATAAATATATATATTCTTTGAAAGTTTTCATACACGAACAAAATTTTTTAACGTAACCATTTTTTAAGCTATATACAGTAGATTTTAAAGCTATATACAGTGTCTTAAACTGGCCCCGTAGGAATGAGATCAAGTTTCAGACGTATTTCAGGTTAAATGTCGTTTCAGATGGAAGGGTTGTTTGCATTCTCAGACAGTAGAACAACTGTGGGGGTGGGGGCGTAGTGTGGGGTTGGGACGGTCTCGCTACCTAGCCCTGGGTGCCCTGGGATTCACTGCGTAGGCCAGGCTGACTTTGAACTCAGAGACTTAGGTCTGCCTCTGCCTCCCGAATGCCACCATGCCCAGCCAAGCAGAACAATTTAACTGAGAAAGTCTCCGGTTTCCTTTAACAAAGTTATGCACTACGCTTAGTCTACCGTTGGTTAGTTAGTTCCTAGCTTCTTTTTTGAAAACTGTACCGAATTTTTCCATAGTGTGTGTCTGCTTTAAACATCCCTGAAACTACGGCTTCAGCAGACGTCAAGTGGGCGGAGAGCGCCCTCTGCTGCAGAGTGGTGGCAAGACAGGAAACTCCCTGCGGTCTTGTCCAACAGAGGGAGCCTGCACGGTTATCTGGTTCTCATCCTTGGACTCCTCCACACTCGTTTTTTGAGATCTCGCCATTATCTAAGCTCTCTTGATGAGGTGCTGGTTCTTTGACAGTGCTCCAGAGTAGTTGGGGGCTAGACTTGGAGAGAAATAGTTTAGTCCTTTTCCCCGGGCTCCCTGGAAATGGTCCTTATCTTTTGCAGTTCAGACGCCGATGGCACTATACTGTTGCTTGACTCCAAGGAAAAGGTTTCTCAAAGAGCGCTGCATTCCCCAACCAGATTCTTTAAAATAAAAGTTGTCGTGTGGCCCCATGATGCAGAAGCAAAGAGTTAAAATTGCAAATGAGTCCTTATAATTTTATCTTCAGCTCCTTGTTGCATTATGAGAAAAAAAAATCCACTTAAATCTTAGTTGGATGTGGTGGTGCTGGCCTTTAACCAGAGGCAGGCCAATCTCTGTGAGTTCAAAGACAGCCTTGTTTACAAACTGAGTTCCAGAACAACCAAGGCTATTACACAGAGAAACCCTGTCCTGAAAATTAAAAAAAATAATAATAATAATAACCCTAAAAGAATCTATGATTTTATTTTTGTCTTTAAACAAGGTGTTTTTCTAAACTGTTACTCCTGCCATTTGTTGGGGGGGGGGGACTGGTGAGGTTTAATACTATAAGCTTGATGTAGTTTACTTATGACTATAGAGTTTGAAAACCCAAGTTCAAATGATATGCGAATGATTTTAAATTACAGATCCTAAACATGTCGTTACTGTGGCTGACCTCTCCTACTTTGTGAGTTCTTCTTCTTTTTTTTCTTTTTTTTTTTTTTTCCTATCTTTTATACCCCAGTTTCAGCCCCTAACACTAGATAGGAGAGAAACAAGGATAGAAGGAAGAGAGAAGTTAGGAAAATTCCTGAACCTAATTTCTTTCCTTTTGTTTCTTTGACTATAGCTATTAACAAACTGCAACCAGTGCCCCTGAATGACCGACTACCACTGCCCCTGCCCCTTGGGGCTCTAGGGTTTATAAACCCTCTGAAAAGTTTCCAGAATTCTAAATGTCACACAACCGTAGAAACAATCTGCAGCTGGCAAAACCATGCCTCTACTAGAGCATGAGGCAGTCACAGTCAGCTGCTATGGACAGTTTGGAAGCAGCCTCATATCCCCACACCTGGGATTAAAACAAAAGCACATTCTTATATTTCCGGGTTGTTTGTTTGTTTGTTTGTTTGTTTGTTTTTAAGAAACCAAAATTCCAGAATTGTCACTACACATTACCATCAGGTAAATTTACTGTTCCTAACAAAACTTGTAATAGGATGCCTACTTCATATCTGAAAAATCTTGACAGGTTAAAGAAGTTAGATCTTTGTCCGCTCAGCACAAGGGAGTAGAACAGAGGGATTCCAAGTTCAAAGTTGTCTTAGTTAAATTTTCTGTTGCTGTAAGGAAACACCATGACCAAAAGCAACTTGGGGAGGAAACGTTTTATTGAGCTTATACTTTCAAGTAACAGCCCATCATTGAGAGAAGTCAGGATGGGAACTCAAACAGAGCAGGAATCTGGAGGCAGGAGCTGATGCAGAGACCATAGAGGAGTGCTGCTTACTGGCTTGCTCTTTTTCTATGGCTTGCTCAGTTACTTTCTTTTAGCTCCCAGGATCACCAGCCCAGAAGAGGCACCATCCACACTGACCTGGGCTTCCCCATATCAATCATCAATCAAGAAAATACACCACGAGCCAATATGGCCGGGGCATTTTCCCAACTGACTTTCCCTTTTCCCAAATATCTCCGGCTTGTGTTAAGAAGACATAAAACTAGCCACACAAAGGTCATCCTTGGTGAGTTCAAAGTCAGCCAGGGCTACATGAGACCATTTCAAAACACATTTTTGCTGTTTATTCTAAGTTTACTACAATTACTTGATGTGTGTGTGTGTGAAGAAACTCATGCATTTGGAGGTCAGAGGACAAGTTTTCAGAGTCAGGTCTGTCTTGCCATGTGGGTCCCAAGTATCAAACTCAGGTCCTCAGGCTTGGCAGCAGGTGCCCTTGTCCACAGAGCCATTTCACCAGCCCTTATAAATTTGAAGGTTTTAAAGTTCAGTTTAAATAATGTGACGTGACCATAATATACATACAAACTAAATCGTACCAATATGAATGTAAGCTATGGCAAACAAACTATTTTGACAAGAAAAACATTCCATATTTTCTGACCCATTTTTAAATTTTATTTTAAAAACATTTATTTACAATACATTTTGCAGAGGTCCAAGATGGCGGTGACTAGCATGCACTGTATCTGAGGAGCATGGGATCTGAAACTCCGAAATTGATGAGTGGAGGAGCAGTTAAGGAAGAACATCCACACTGAGGCTTCCTGGGCGAGAGGGGACAACCCATGATCTGGGAGAGTTTGGATCCAGGTCACCCGTGGACGTCTCTGGGCACTGAGAGTGATGAATATTCAACCCCCTGCACTTCCTCTTGCCCCAAGCACTGGTCTCCCTGCTCAAACAGTGGACACCACTGAGTTGACGGATCTTCTACACTCTAATTTGCCCCTGGGGCCCATATTTGAGAGTAGAGAACAGGGGGGACCCCTGTGCTTTCCAATTAGGCCTGCGAGTGAGTACGTGTGCCTGTAGGTGCGTGCAGAGCCCTAGATCCAGGATCCCTCTATTCTAGCAGCCAGACATTAGATCTCTCCCACCCACACCTCCACTGTGGGCAACACAGTCCAAGGGATTCTTGGACAGTGGGTCTCAACACTGAAGCCCCGGTTCTGCGGATCTACCAGTGGAATCCAGGCAAGCAATTCCTGGAGCCCAGACAGATCTGAATGTCTGAATACCAGGAGGACAGTACAACAGGTCTGTAGGCCACAGAGGTATTCAGACATCTGCCCATGTGCATTGTGCTCTCAAAAAGCGCCAGCACCTGCACCTCCTCCCATGCTTAAGCTCCACTCTTCTAGGCATCTACACACTCTAGCACCCTCTCCTCAAGGCACACTTACACACATACACACACACACATACACACACACACACACACACACACACACGCCCACACTTGCACATATGCGCCTGCAACCTTCCTACCTTAGCTACAGCTGAAACACCAACATTCACTCTCAAAACAGTGGACCTCTCTCATCTTCCTGAAGAATATTCCAGATACCAGAGACAGATGGACCCAGTCTGAAGTACAGAGACTCCAGGAACAAACAACGAAGGTTACAGATAAGCAAGCAGATGGCTAGAGATCTGCATAAGAACACTTCCAACAAAAATCAGGACATCACGGCTTCACCAGGAACCCCCCCCATATCAGTGAATATTTTACTTCATCAGAAACATAGGAAAATTATTTTAAAGCTATGCTCATCCAGTTATTAGAGGCACATAAAGAGGAAATAAACAAAGCTTTCAAAGAAATACAGGCAAATCCAGCCAAACAAATACAGGCACAAATAGTGGCATGTAGAGAGGAAAGGAACAAAAAATAGAGGCCATCATGGAAAGACAGGAATCCACATTCAAACAGATGAAGGAAATGGTACAAGACATGAAAACAGAATTAGAATCAATAAAGAAAACACAGAGAAAACCCTGGATCTGGAGAACTTAGAGAAAAGATCAGGAACCACAAAGATAAGCATCACCAACAGAATACAAGAGATGGAAAAGAGAATCTCAGGTGCTGAAGATAAATTGATACATCTCTCAAGGAAAACATAAAAGCGGAAAAGTGCCAAACACAAAACATCCAAGAAATTAAGGATGCCATGAAAAGATGAAATCTAAGAATAATAGGAATAGATGAAAAAGAAGATTCCAGACTCCAAGGTCCAGAAAATGTTTTCCAAAAAAAATCATAGAAGAAAATTTTCCCAACTTAAAGAAAGACATGTCTATTAACATACAAGAGGCCTACACAACACCAAATTGACTAGACCAGAAAAGAAACTCCTCATGTCATAAAACACTGAATCAAAAGAACAAAGAAAAAATATTAAAAGCAGCAATGGAAAAAGGCCAAGTAACATATAAAGGTAGACCTATCAGAATCACACCAGACTTCTCAACAGAAACTATGAAAGCCAGAAGGGCCTGGGCAGATATCATGCAGACTCTAAGAGACCACAGATGCCAACCCAGACTATTAT